CCCCCCCGCGGCGCGGCTCGGGTCCTGTGGGCGGGGCTTGCAGCAAGCCCCGCCCCCAGGAATCGGGCCCCGCTCTTGCTAAAGCCGGCCCTGCTCACCAAAGTCTCTTAAGCAAAGTGAGAAGTCATGGGATAAGAGGGAAGATCCTCTCATGGATGAGTAAAAGATAGGAAACAAAGGGTAGACATAAATAGTCAGTTTTCACAGTGGATAGGAAAATAGCAGAGGCCCCTAAAGATTTGTAGGGGACCAATGTTATTCAACATATTAATAAATGATCTGGAAAAAGGGGTAAACAGTAGGGTGGCAAAGTTTGCAGACAATACAAAATTACTCAAGATAGTTAAGTCCAAAGCTGATTGTGAAGAATTAGAAAGTGATCTCATAAAACTGGGTGTCTGGGCAACAAAATGGCAGATGAAATTCAGTGTGAATGAATTGACCGGGAACGTGTCACCTGAGGATGGCATGCAGAGATAAAATTTCAGTGTTGATAAATGCAAAGTAATGCAAATTGGAAAATGTAATCCCAATTATACATACAAAATGATGGGGTCTAAATTAGCTGTTACCACTCAAAAAAGAGATCTTGGAGTCCTTGTGGATTGTTCTCTGAAAACATAAGCTCAATGTGCAGCAGCAGTCAAGAAAGCAAACAGAATGTTAGGAATGATTAGGAAAGGGACAGATAATAAAACAGAAAATGTCATAATGCCACTACATAAATCCAGGTAATGGCCACAACTTCAATATTGCACATAGTTCTGGTCACCTATCTCAAAAAAGATATATTAGAATTGGGAAAAGTACAGACAAGGGCAACAAAAATTATTAGGATATGGAATAACTTCTCTATGAGGAGAGATTAAAATAATTTCTTTTCAGGTTAGAAAAGAGATGACTAGTAGGATATGAATGACATCTATAAAATCATGAATGATGTAGAGAAAGTGAATGAGGAAGTGTTAGTTACCCCTTTACATAATAGTAGAGCTAGGGGTCACCCAATGAAATTAATAGGCAGCAAATTTAAAACAAACATAAGGAAGTATTTCTTCACACAAGGCACAGTCAACTGTGGAACTCATTGCCAGTGGATGTTGTGAAGACCAAAAGTATGACAGGGTTCCAAAAATAATTAGATAAGTTCATGGAGGATAGGCCTATCAATGGCTATTAGCCAGGATGGCCAAGGATGTAACCCCCTGCTCTGGGTGTCCCGAAACCGCTGACTACCTGAAGTTGGGACTGGACGATGGGCTGGATCATTCAATCATTACCTTGTTCAGTTCAGTTCCTCTGAAGCATTTGTCACTGACCACCGCTGGAAGATAGGATACTGGGTTAGATGGACCATTGTTCTCATCCAGTATGGCCATTTTTATGTTCTTATGAATCTAATTTACACAGAGCCAGATTCAGAGGGGATGTGTATCTTAACTGAATGTCAGTAATTCAAACACCTAGGCTGTTTTAAATTAACTTTTTGGGGAAAAGGGGCCTGAGAATTTTCAAGGATATAGTTCTTTTTGCTTACCTGACCTTATAAGGGCTTAGTTTAGCAGTTTAAGAAACTTGCAGTACGGAGGTTGGTGTTGGTAGTGCCATCCTATGCATAATTTCCTAGAATGTATAAAGACAGTGCATGTTGCTTGGGGATCTTCTTTTTTTCACTTTAATTTTTTCACATCTCTTAGGGGATGCATCAGACAAACTGATTTGCTCCCATTCCTGGTATATTTTATTTTCTCTTCTGCTAGCTACCCTGATTTCACCCTCTCTTTCCCCTCCCCATTTCTCTGTGCTATGTGCTACACCATCCTATACCTGATAGTTAGGCTGCAATTTTGTTATGGAGGTCACGGAAGTCACAGATTCCATGACTTTCCATGACCTCCGTGACTTCTGCAGCAGCCGGTGCACCTGGCTCAGGGGCAGCTCAGGCAGCCCCTGCGTCAGGTGCACTGGGCGCTGCTGGGGCAGTCTCGGGCCACTGTGCAGAGTTTGGGTGTGGGAGGGGGCAGTGGGTTGGGGCACAGGACGGGGTGAGGTGGAATCTGTGCAGCGCTTACCTGGGGGGCTCCCCAGAAGCAGTGACATACCCCTTGCTCAGCTGCTTGGTGGAGGCGTGGGCAGGAAGCTGTGCATGCTGCCTCCACCCAGAGTGCTGGCTTAGCACCTCCCATTGGCTGGGAACCATGACCAATGGGAGCTGCGGGGGTGGTGCCTGCAGTTGGAGGCAGCCATGCTTCTGCCTAGCAGCTGAGTGAGGGGGATGTCGCCACTTCCAGGGAGCCCCCCCAGGTAAGCGCTGCACAGATCCCACCTCACCCTGTCCCGTCCCCCAACCCCCTGTGCCCTCCCACACCCAAACTCTATTGTTGCTGGAGGGGAGGCGTGGAGCCAGGTAGGGAGCCTACCGGCCCCACCAACCCTTCTCCCCCACCCCCCCGCACCAGTGTGGGTCCTGGGCTGCACACTGTCCCTTCCTCTCCCCCCCCCCCACCCCTACAAGCAGCTGGCCTGCCCTCCCTCAGCACTCGTGGGGGCCCCGGGCAGACCTCCCAAGTTTTATTCACTGGTATTTTTAGTAAAAGTCATGGACAGGTCACGGGCCGTGAATTTCTGCTTAGTGTCTGTTACCTGTCTGTGACTTTTACTAAAAATACCTGTGATTAAAATTTAGCCTTACTGATCGTTCCTGCTCCCACTGTTGCCTTTCCTCCTGAGCCAAAAATGAGTTCCATTTCTAATGTTGCTACTCTCCTCTTCCACCGACGTCCCATCCCACCCTTTCATTCAGTCACTTTCTTTGACACTCGCCTTCCCTGCCTATTGAATCTTTCAGTGTTCTGGCTTCCCTCCCCTTTCTTATGGCTTTTCATCCCAGTTCCTGGTCTTTTTTGATTCCCATGGAATCAGTAGTGAGACATTAATAGTCATTGACACCCAAGTTAATTTAGCTCTTGCTGTTAAATCAAGAGCCAAATAAATTAGCTCTTCAGTTGGTTGTGAAGGGTTAAAATGTTTTGGATATAGACTGAAGAAAGCAAATGAATTTGTATTGTTGGATGGATCTTCATATGGGAACTGAGAGCACTTTGATAATGGATTGAACAGTATGTAGTTTCCCAATAATTTGTATAAACATATCTGTATCGTCTTCTTTAAAACAATACTGTTACTTTTTTTACAGCAGTGCTCCTAAATTTATGACAATAAATATCCCTACAACACCAGTACCTCTTTATCAGTGGAAAAACATTTCATTTACAAATCTCTGCTAAATAATGCACTAGCACATTCTACATTGATATCCATGTGTTCTGGATTTAAAGCACAAACCTAAAATGTATACAACTATACTTTTGTTTCTGCTTTGAAATGTTATATGAATAGGTCTGGAAAAGTATCATTGCACATAACAGATTTAAATCATTTTTCTGATAATAATAGATCTAGTTCATATATCAGCCTTTACATTCTGTGAAATGTCAGAAAATTCAATTGCTCTCTAATTGCTGTATGTCAAGTAGAGCACTTGTGTTATAGCCAAAGCTTTGATCAGTCTGATCCTCGCAGTCAGTAGAGCGGTACCAGTTGCGTACTGTGCTGTATGTGGAATTGAGCCCAGGAAAATAAACACTTTTAAGTCTTTAACGTAGCAGTCATTAAGCAGCCAAACCTATTTTTATATTAATTTTCCACTGCTGCAATATCTAGATGATGACCGAGTGCTGACATCCTGTACTTCTGGTCAGCTGTTTCACTTCTGACCAATGTTGATCCGGTGAAGGCTGGCTGCTTGAAGCTACTCACTCAATTCTGATCTCATTTCACGCATTCTTGCATGTACAACAAGCTAATGAGGCTTTCATCTTATAAAGCTGGCACAGTATAAAAGGGACAGTAAATCTAGAGATATGTCCTGTTGGGTAAACTGTACACTTTCACAGGTGGGATGATGATGGAGAAATAGTTCAATTTAAAGCTGTGTGTTAAAATCTTCTTTGTCACCTCTGCAACTGAAGATAACCTATTCTGCAACTGAATGATGCCACATATATATTGGATTAAAGAGGAAATCTGAAATAATGTATTTACATTCAGATAAAGGGGAAAATGTGTAGGGACGATAGTTGGAGGATAAAATCTTACACTTGTATTCAGAATACTAAATTATTTTGTGTGATTTCCAATAAGCTTCCCTAATTTAAATAACTGTGCTTTGGGAGACTTATATGGAACCAAGTGTTGAAAGAGCGCTCTAGCACAGTAATGCAAACATGAAAACCTGTAGAAAATGTGGCTGAAACTTGAAATGTAAAGGGAAAATTGCACTCGTATAATGTATTTATTCCATTTTTTTCAGGTTAAAGAAGCTTCTCGAACAGGAAAAAATCTATCAAGCTCGCAAGGAGAAAGAACATACAAAGAGACTCAATAAACTGAGAGACGAATTGGTCAAACTCAAGTCATTTGCACTCATGCTGGTGGATGAGAGACAAATGCATATTGAACAACTTGGTCAGCAAAGTCAGAAAATACAAGATCTTGCTCAGAAACTAAAGGAGGAAGAAGAAAAGCTTAAAGTTATTAGTTCAAAAACAAAAGAAGATGGACAAAAATTGATGAAATTAGAAGCAGAACTTGAACACAAGACATTATCATTTTCTCAAGAGCATGAGGAGATGACCGCTAAACTGGGTAATCAAGAGTCACATAATAGACAGCTGAGACTTAAGCTGGTTGGTTTGACTCGTAGAATTGAGGAGCTAGAGGAAACTAATAAAAATCTTCAAAAGGCTGAGGAAGAACTTCAGGAATTAAGAGATAAAATAGCAAAAGGAGAATGTGGAAACTCTAGCTTGATGGCTGAAGTGGAAAACCTACGCAAGCGTGTACTTGAAATGGAAGGCAAAGATGAGGAGATCACAAAAACTGAATCCCAATGTAGAGAGCTGAAAAAGAAACTGCAAGAGGAAGAACATCATAGCAAAGAGCTGAAATTTGAAGTGGAAAAGTTGCAAAAGAGAATGTCAGAACTGGAGAAGCTGGAAGAGGCTTTTAGTAGAAGTAAGTCTGAATGTTCCCAGTTGCACTTAAATCTGGAGAAAGAAAAGAATTTAACCAAAGACTTAATAAGTGAGTTGGACATGGTAAAGACTCGAGTGAAAGATCTTGAATCTTCAGAAAGTAAGTTGGAAAAAGCTGAACTAAGCTTAAAGGAGGACCTTACCAAGCTGAAGTCATTTACTGTCATGCTGGTGGATGAAAGAAAAAATATGATGGAAAAAATAAAGCAGGAAGAAAGAAAAGTTGAAGGTCTGAACAAAAATGTTAAGGTAGAACAAGGTAAAGTTATGGATGTGACTGAGAAATTAATAGATGAAAGTAAGAAACTTTTGAAACTGAAAACTGAAATGGAGGAAAAAGTGTCCAGTTTAACAAAGGAAAGAGATGAGTTAATTGGAAAGCTGAAAACTGAAGAAGAAAAATCCTCTGAACTGAGTTGTAGAGTTGATTTGTTAAAGAAAAGAATTGAAGGTATAGAGGAAGTAGAAAGAGAAATAGCAAGAGGTCGAGCCAGAAAAGGACAAGAACTTGCTTATCATGAGGACAACAAGATTAAAGAACTAACCATTGAAATTGAAAGACTGAAAAAACGTCTCAAACAATTGGAAGTGGTTGAAGGAGACTTGATGAAGACAGAGGATGAATATGATCAGCTGGAGCAGAAATTTAGGACTGAGCAGGACAAAGCTAACTTCCTTTCTCAACAACTGGAGGAAATGAAGCTCCAGATTGCTAAAAACAAAGCAATAGAGAAGGGTGAAGTGGTGAGTCAGGAAGCAGAGTTGAGGCACAGGTTTCGGTTAGAAGAAGCTAAAAGCAGAGATTTGAAAGCAGAAGTGCAAGCTCTTAAGGAAAAAATTCATGAGCTGATGAACAAAGAAGACCAGCTTTCCCAGCTCCAAGTTGATTATTCCGTTCTTCAGCAAAGATTTATGGAAGAAGAAGATAAAAACAAAAATATGGGTCAGGAAGTCCTGAACTTAACAAAAGAGTTAGAGCTTTCTAAGCGTTACAGTCGTGTCCTCAGACCCAGCATGAATGGTAGAAGAATGGTAGATGTTCCTGTGACATCAACTGGGGTGCAGACTGATGCAGTAAGCAGTGAAGCAGCAGAAGAAGAAACCCCAGCTGTGTTTATAAGGAAATCCTTCCAAGAGGAAAATCACATCATGAGTAATCTGCGACAGGTAGGGCTGAAAAAACCCACAGAGCGTTCATCTGTGCTTGACAGGTATCCCCCAGCAGCAAATGAGCTTGCAATGAGGAAATCTTGGATACCATGGATGAGAAAAAGAGAGAATGTGTCCCAAGGTGCTCCTGATAAAGGAGCCCGAACACGAGGTAGCCCAGGACATCCTGGAGAGGTTGTCCTTTCCCCAAAGCAGGGGCAACCTCTTCATATTCGGGTGACTCCAGATCATGAGAATAGTACAGCTACTCTGGAGATAACTAGCCCAACATCTGAGGAATTCTTTTCAAGCACCACTGTCATTCCAACCTTGGGAAATCAGAAGCCACGGATTACCATCATTCCTTCTCCAAATGTGTCACAAAAAGGAAAAGGTGGCGAGAGCTCAGTGGGCCCAGAGCGTGCTATGTCACCGGTTACTATAACTACATTCTCCAGAGAAAAGTCCTCAGATGGAGGGAGAGCTCCTTTCATGGAAAGACCCACGTCCCCAATTCAGATTATGACAGTATCTACGTCTGCAGCACCAGCAGAAATCTCTGTTTCTCCAGAATTGCAGGATATGACCATGGGAAGGGCTGTTTTCAAAGTAACACCAGAAAAACAAACTGTCCCAACCCCAATCCGGAAGTACAATGCCAATGCCAACATTATAACAACAGAGGACAACAAAATTCACATTCACTTAGGTTCTCAGTTTAAACGCTCCCCTGGTGTTGCTTCTGAAGGAGCTAGTCCTGTGATAACGGTCAGACCAATGAATGTAGCAGCAGAAAAGGAGGTTATGACTGGTACCGTCCTTCGTTCCCCCAGGAACCATTTCTCCTCCAGGCCCGGAGCAAGCAAAGTGACAAGTACCATAACTATAACTCCGGTTACAACATCATCCACACGAGGAACACAATCAGTGGTAAGTAGCAGAGGATTCCGTGGGATATCTGCCCAGACTTCATGGTGGGGAGATGGGAAGCCATAAAATGGCCCTTTCAAAGCTGTAGGAAATGAAAGAAGGATGGTGCTGTAAACTTTCCTATGGTGGTTGGGGGAGGTGGGCAGAGAGGAAGAGGGGGCAATGCAGAGAGAAACCCTGCTTCTATTTTTTTGGAGGTGTCAGTTCTTAACTTGGTCCATTGTGCTTAGCTAGTGTATAGCTCTCAGCTAATTGATATGATTTATGTAGCAATACAGTACCCAGTGGGTGAATAAAGAACAGAGTGGGAGATTTAATTCTGAAGTTCCTGGCTCTTGTCTGTTTTATGACAGATTTGCCATGGCTTTAACTTTAACTGTATAAAATAGAGGTAGGTGGGAGGTGGGGTGGGGGGGGGGGGAGGACGACACACAACTCTGCAGAACCACCAGTTATACAGGGGAGATATTTCTTTAGGATCAAGCATGTAATTTTTAGGAGTCCTGCCTGAGCTGTGAAACCTCCCCGCATGGTGATTCCAAGATGGTGGCTGTAATTTCATGTCTGGGCCATTTAGGACATGGGGGATTTTCTTTTCTTAATTGACATCCCCTCTAGTCTGTCTAACTTTTTATTTTCCAAAAATCTATATAAGTGCCTCCAGCAGGCTCAATTTGAGTGAAATTACAGATACCATCTTGGAAGTGCTGATGTGGTTGGCTAACTCCTGCAAGCGACAAAAATCCATGATTATCAGTCCTGTAATTTCCTCATCAGTGTGTTCCACACACCTTCTGTGCCATTCTTACAGGCCTGGGACCCAATTCTCTATTGTGTTATGACTGTTCTTGCCCCCTCTGTACCACTTTTCCCCTCACATATTAAAAATGTTACAAGAGATAATGTGCAAGTGACATAGCTATTCTCAGATAATAATAAAATACACTCGAGGATTTGTGTTATAAACTGCTTAAGAATATGCTAAACTTTCAAAAAGTCCAAATCATTGCTGCTTATTTAAACCAACCACCCATCCTCATTGCAAACACTTTGACTAGTATACTTGTAGTCATGTCTGCATGTTCTGCAGTGAGCCTCCGTTATGGGCGTAAATAGCCTCGCCAGTTGCATGTGTTTACTCCTCCATTAAAATTTAGTTCTGGGTATCTATAATGTTCCACTAGTGTATACTTCTGGGAAGAGAACAGCTTAGCTTCACTCTGCAAGTCCTAATGAGGCAGCATTATAGGTGTCCCGTATTAACTTCATAAAAGTATAGAGAGCCAAATTCTGGCTGATGCAGTATATTTGCGTAAAGCAGAAAAAACTGCAGTCACCTGCAAACGTGCGAGGCAGAAGGGAGCCAACCGGACTCTGAATCCTGCAAAATGATTCAAAAATCCTACCAAGAGGTTCTCTACAACTGACACTGTTAAGGCAGAAGCAGCTCTAGCCATTTTCCCAACCACCAAAAAAATGTTTTAGATGCTCCCCATAAGCACCTGAACCCCCCAAAACACCACAGCTGGCCAATCAGCAAAGGGGAGGGGAGAGAGAGAGCGACACACACACATACACACACACACACAAATGGCACAGGTTTACAGCACCCCTTGGAAGTTGGCACCTAGGGCAAGCACACTGCTTGCTCACCCCTAGAACCAGCACTGGCTGAGGCTGTTTGAAGCCCAGTCTGCATGTTTATTCAGTTACATTGGCCAGACAGTGGGGACCTGCATACAGCTAATTTTCCCTTCACTTAGCAAGGAAAAAATGTGTTTGGAGTTGTGTGTTGAGCTGTGATCTGAGTGACATGTTAGTGTGCCTCTTTGGGGACCGAGAAGGCAGAGTCAAAATACTTTAAAATGATCTTTGAGTGTTTTAGACATGAAACTAGTAACTCTAGAGTGCCAAAATCTTCAGTTAATAATTTACGTGTCATTAAAACTCAAGAAATGCCTGAGATTCCAGCTACTTCATTTAATAGCTGTATGTTTACACACCGGGGAAAGCTTTCAGGGAGTGCAGGATGTTTGTCATTTTGGCTCCAGGGTATGTTGACATATTTTCCAACTCTGATAGAATGTATTTGCATGTTGTGCCATACAATGTTCCATGGTTCTTACTTGTTTTGACATAAAAATGTGAGTTCCTTTAAATGTTGTTGTAAACACTGCTTTTGATTATTGAAAATGGCTTGCTTCCCATCGGCTTGTCAGCATTCAAATTTCCCAATTGTGATTTCATTTATTTTATTTTGTGTATGCGTGCATGGGGTTTTGTACTGTTCTTGGAACATTAAGTAATGGAGAGCGCTGATTGACTGGTAAGGATGGTGATAGTTTGCCTCCTTTTTTGCAGTGCTCAGTACATATAATCAGGACCCTGTGTGCTCCATGGCAACTTGAAACTAAACTCTGTGGCAAGGGCCCTAGATTCTATTGCAGTCTGGTGCAGCAGGAAGGAGATTCTGTAGCAGATTCATTTGATTATTTTAAACTCCGGTTTGTAATGTGCAACTAAATGCTATTAGGAAAATTATATATATTATAAGTGCCCACAACACTGTTTATTTTGTTGATTCAATTCAGTTTATACTGACAGGTTTCAGAGTAGCAGCCGTGTTAGTCTGTATCCGCAAAAAGAAGAACAGGAGTACTTGTGGCACCTTAGTCTCTAAGGTGCCACAAGTACTCCTGTTCTTCAGTTTATACTGTTTCCACATTTGCTGTTTTCAGTGTGCTGCAGCTTTGGTCTTCACACTGCAAAATTACTATGTAGAAATTGTCAGGGAACCTGGAAGTATTTTAGCCTCTAGGTTGAGGATAGCTGGGACTTCTAGAACTTGAGGAGGTGTTCTGGGAGTTTGGGATTAGGACAATAACTGATTTTTTTTTTTCTGTTCAAAATGATCAGTGGTGAAGCAGTTAATATTGTTAATTAAGCTTCAAATTTAACAGCCCACTGAGATAAATAGGGCAATGCATGTGCAATGCTGCATTAGTTTACATTTGCATTATGTTTTGTTCTCAACCATGAAGGAAGGATATACACGTTTTCTCTACGTGATGGTTAGAGTCTGGCCTATAGTTGCAAGGCAAAGAATGGCTTCCAAATTCTTTTGCTGCAGAATACATTGGCCTGTCAGATGAACAGGAAATAGTAAAGACCTATTAGGTTTCTAGTCCATCTCTTCCCATAGAGGTGCTGGTCTTGTCTACATTAATGTAGGTAAGACAGTAGAGACTTTCTCTCCTTTTCCTCTCTTTTCTCAATAATAAAAGATTAGGCCAATTCCCTGGATCTGAACAGCTCCAAACTTTAGGAAAGTATGGATCCAGAGCTTTGTACCTGACCCCCATCTCTAATAAGCCAACCCAAAATACTTGATCTGAACACCAGAAAAATAAGGCCTGGATCTGACCTCTGCATTTTGGGTCCATCTCTAGCATGATATTCACCATTGTACAGTAACTGTTCTGGTACAAAGTGTCTTCTTGGCATTTTGCTTCATGCCACTAACATTTAAATATGCTGCAAAGGATTCAACCATCATTATACCAAAGGAGATGCCATGATTCCAAAGTTGAATACTAATTAAACAATTTAGGTGCCCAAAGTGACCTGGTTGCCTGAGATATGATCTGTCTTCCTGTGATTTTCTGCCACTGTTGAGAGTAGCCAAGGCACTCAAACTGGGACCCTCCCAATATAAGTGAAAGAGAGCTGCGTGGCAGGGCATTCCTTGTGAGGGGTCCTCCGTTTTGGAACTTGCTCCCCACCATTGATACACAAGAGCCTAGATTTGTTAACCTTCTGGGCATGCTTGCAAAGTCCAGCTTTTCTCTGTCTTTGTTAAGGAGGGCCTGGGCTGGGGTGGATATATTTATGGCCAGTTGTTTGTTTATGTTGTTATTTTTAATTCATGGCAGAGGCTCCCAGTGCACTGGATAGGTGCTTCAAGGCATATTTTAAAAATTTGAAGAAACAAATAAGGAACTGTACAGATTTAGGATCTGTTAAAGAAAAACTCCTAAAAATCTTGCTTACAGTTATATCCTTTCTCTTTTTCTCTCTTTCAGACAGGACAGGATGGGTCATCACAGAGACCTACACCCACCCGTATTCCTGTGTCAAAAGGTATGAAAGCAGGAAAGCCAGTAGTGGCAGCCCCAGGAACAGGAAATGTGACAAAATTCGAGCCTCGTGCCGAGACTCAGTCTATGAAAATAGAACTGAAGAAATCTTCAGCCAACAGCTCTGCCTCCCTGGGCGGGGGGAAGGGCTGAGGGCAGTGGCTAAGGGGGTATGTTGTGCAGGTTTTACTGCTACCATGGAAATCAACCCCCTGTCTGTTAGTTGCTGGTGTTTGCATTTACTAATTAAGTCCTGAAACTGTCACTTAACATAACAAACTAATAGGTGTGTGTGTGGGTGTGTGTGGGTGTGTCTTGACTTTAACAATATAATTTTGTTTCTATGCTGGGCTAAAAAGCTACTTGGAAGCTCGTAATGTTTGCAGACAATGAAATCAGACTGAGCAGCCTCACTTACACATTGATCTTAATTCAGGCAGGGGTTATTGAATTTATTGATAGGATGGGCCACTTCTTAAGAGATTGTCTCATGGTACCACTTTCCATCTCACTCACAATCGCATAGGGCACTTTCCCTCCTTTTCAATGATCATTTAACATTCCTGAGACAACTAAAGCATTGCTTGCCTAAAGAAGTAATGCTAGAAAAGCCATGTATTTTTAGGTCTCTTTTAATGAAGTCTCATAGCTAAAACAAAGAGGAAGAGCCAGCAACATGTGACCAGCCATCTCTCTATGGATCGGCAGTGCTTCACAGACCGCAGTTTGGAAAGCTCTGATCTAACTGATTTTTTGTTACAGCCACAATTTGGGCCTGATCCAAAACCCCTGGAAGTCAATGGAATTACTTTCTTTGGGCTTGTCTATACTTTTGGCTAGATTCACACTGCTGTGATCAATGCAGTGGTGTCGATTTAGTGGGTCTGGTGAAGACCCACTAAGTCAATGGCAGAGTGCTCTCCCATCTACTCCTGTACTCCAGCTCCTCGAGAAGAGTAAGGTAAGTCAGCAGGAGAGCATTTCCCATCAACACAGCGGGATGTAGATACCGCAATAAGTGGATCTAGCTATTTCAACTTCAGTTATGTTATTCACGTAACTGAAGTAGTGTAACTTAGATTGATTTACTGTGGTAGTGTAGACAAGGCCTTTGACTTCAGTTTACTTTGGATCAGGCCCATAATCAGAAAGTGTGCTGTAGTTTAACTTCAGCTGCCTGAAGTTAAGTTCTTCTGTCTTAGAACAGTCCTTTATACAGACAGTTAATGGTGCAAAGTAATTGATGGAGAACTCTGCTCAGATACAGAGGGTAGGGGACAGAGGGCTTTGCACCCAACTTACTCTGAATTCCAGCGTGTTCCCTGAAGTTTGGTATGTGTCTATCTCAAATAAAGACCCAGTTTACAGTGCTATGGAGTACCAGTTTGTGTTTTGTTTTGTTCTGGTTATACTGAAGTATTTGCATTTTTTCCATTTGTGGTTTTTTTTAGCATGTTTTAAGGAAGTATTTCAGCATGGAAATGGGTGTAGATGTAAATGATTGATGTCATTATTTTGTTTGATAGCACCATAATTTCCCCAGAAAACTCAATTTCCACACAAGTAAGATACAATAAATGAACTCTGGGTTGAAGTAACTTGACATGCTGTGTCTCAGCCAGAAGGTGCATTTTAAAAATATATAATGATTCAACCATTTGAGTGAGCTATTAAGAGTCCCACAACTATGGGTGCCCTTGCTGGAGGAGAGAAGAGAAAGGAAGATGACTCATGCAGCATGAAGAATACAAGTGTAACGCAAAATGAATTTGAGGGAGAATTCTAAGTGAAGAAGTTAAGCGGCTGAAGGAAGCAAATGCAGTTAATAGGATGTACAGGGTCAATGCAATGAACCAAGAGATTGGGGGATTAGTTTCTCTTGTGAAGGAGAGGTTGAAAGAAGAGTCTGTCAGTGGAGGGCAACAAAAATGTGGTAGAATCAGGCAATGTTTATCCTTAATCCATACTTTCGGCTGCTACCCTATTAAAGATCCAGATATTTCCGTTAGAGAGCTTACCCCAGCTTCACTATCTTGAAGGCATTCTTATTCTTCTTTCATGCACATGTCCTTCTGATGAACATCACAAAAATAACAGAGTCCTTTGGCACCTTTAAGACTAACAGATGTATTGGAGCATAAGCTTTCGTGGGTGAATGCCCATCCACAAAAGCTTATGCTCCAATACATCTGTTAGTCTTAAAGGTGCCACAGGACTCTCTGTTGCTTTTTACAGATCCAGACTAACACGGCTACCCCTCTGATACCGATCACAAAAATATTGATTCTGATTTTCACAGGTCCTCAAGCATCTTCCATTAACCTGCATCTCCAATTAACTTTGGAAATGTAGGTGTTAGGACATCTGAAAAACAGACTCATGACTTTATATATATATATAATTTTCCTAATAGCAGAACCAAACTTGGAACTTCTTCTTGGGAATTTGTGAGTTACTGACCAGAAGTGCATCAACTCCTTCCAGCTAATTGTTATGCCCAATAAATGCCCCATACCTCAATTTGTCAATTAATCATTAGTGAGTTCTTATTATTTCTAAGTATCAGAGCTTTTTCAGCAGAAGTTCTAAACATAACATGAAGCTAAAAGCTCATTATAACACTAAATGCTGAGCTAAACCAAATCTTCCACTCAGTTCAAAACAGTAATTTTAAATGCTGCAAAGTAGACGAGCCCCCTGGTAATGTGGTATGATACAGTAATGAACTATAGATGGCTTAAGCCTTCTTTTTCATAGCTTTTAAAAAGAAACTAGCCTTTCCTAACTTAAGTGATGATATATATGGGACAATAGTCTAAATGTGCCTGCCTTTGAAAGCAGCATCTGTTTTGGATGGGATTTGAGAGACTACTTTATCTGAAGAAGAAACCATCAGATCGAACTGGATATCCAGGGCCACCACTGCACAGCTAGAATTGGAGAGGCAAACTAGAAGTACCACTTGTGGAGTTATCAGGACATGTGAGAAGGAATCCAGCAACCCCAGACGAAAGAGAATTGACAAGTCAGACTAGTATTTTGAGGATTCAGTAGCAGAGCCCATTGCCAGGACCAGACCAGAAAAAAATCTCTGATCCACAGCCAACCTAGCAAAAGGTCAAGGAATCAGAACCAGGCAAAAGGGTGTTTCTAAAACTAATCTGGGAAAAAAACCCACAAGCAAACAAAAAGTAACAACTTATGAATATTGGTAGGAAAAGACCCTGAAAACATATTAATCTTGTTTAAATATTAGCAAGAAGAGGGCAGGTCGCAATTTACAAAGCTTCTCAAAAGGAAAGAAAGATAAAGTGTAAGGGCTGATGTAAGCCAAAGGGTAATGTAAATTATTTACTAAGTATTGATGTATAAGGGTTTATTCTGAGGATCACAGAAATGAAATATTTTGTATAAACTGGAGAAAACTGTATGCCTATAAGTACTTATGGATATCTGTTTTAAGTTTAGTGTGCATCTTTGGTTAAAAAATTAGATGAGTTCAGCATTTTATAATATGTTTTCATTTACCTGAAGTTTGCTACTCTAAGTAGAGAGCGGGCGGGAAGGGAATTGCAACAATAATAACAAAAAAGGCTTATAGCTCAAAAGTCTTAAAAAGTTGAAGGTTAGCTGTCTTGATTATACAGTTTAGAGTCCCTTTTCCTCTGAAGGTAGCAATCTAGTTAGTGACTACAATAAGATAAGCCACTCAGCACCTTAAAAACTTTGTCTAGTGGAAGAAGCATGACTGTTACAATATCTCTGTCTGTGAGAAAGGTCTCAGCTAACTCATTGTTCTTACATCACAAAAGTGTTCCAGCATCTATGTGTGGAGTTAAGGACAGAGTAACCTCCATAACTGAATTTCCCTGTATTTGATTTTAAATCTGATCCTTAACACAAGTTTCTACTGAATTATATAGGGCCAGATGCCGTCACCCTTACTCATGCTAAGTACAGCTTGTTCATGTGAGTAGTCTCATGGCCATAAACAGAAATACTGACCTGACTAAGAGCTGCTCAGTGTGAGAAAGGTTGCAGAATTTGGTTCATAAAGACATGCAATCTCTAGTCTAAGGGGTTTCTTTCAGATCTTAAAATATGCTAAGCAAACAATATCTTGACTTCATATGGCCACTTTGATCTTTAGTTGTTTACTCTTTTCATTTTATGATCACAATCCTTCACTGTGATTAAAAAAGCAAATAACACAGTGGTTCTCAAACTATTGTACAGGTGACACCTTTCACATAGCAAGCCTCTGAGTGCGACCCCCCCTTATAAATTAAAAACACTTTTAAATATATTTAACACAATTATAAATGCTGGAGGCGAAGCGGGGTTTGGGGTGGAGGCTGGCAGCTGGCAACCCCCCCCCCCCATGTAATAACCTCACGACCCCCTGAGGGGTCCCGACCCCCAGTTTGAGAACCTCTGAAATATCTTCTGACTTTTATAAATATGACCATACAGAATGTACATGACAGTATTTAAACTTTAAACCACTTACTTGGTGATTAATATCATGTGCATAATCTCTAAAACAGAATTGGTCTGCAAAGGTTCATGCCAATTATATTTTTTACTAAATACTAGATTATTACCTAAAACATGTTAAACGTGTTTTCAGATCCTCTCAAGGTTAATGCTAATGTTCGGTGACTGATCAGAATTCCAGAGCACATCTTTAAAGAGGGAAGTCTACCGTCCTACCATGTTTCAGGTTTTTGACACAGGCTACAACAATAAGGATGGTTTTCAGACAGTTATATGTTCCTATCGCATATCAGTTGTTGACATCACTAAGTCAGTTTGAAACCTGTAGTATGCTGGCAGTAGTTTCTATGAGCTCATCTTTTAAACTTGTTCTCCTTTAGGGGAATATTTTTCTCTTCCATCTGTGTGAGTAATTCTCATTCCCTTAACTTTGACTGAGCTCTCCCAGACAGAGCTCTTTCTAACATTTGTCATTATAGATGTTGACTTCACTTTGAAACTATCTTACTACTTGGTCTCTGTTCTTATTTGGGTTTTTGGAAAACATCAAGAGGGTTAACTACTTTCAAATTGGGAGCTATCAGCTGCAGGAACAAAACCATGTAGGACCATGTGTGGGTTTATTTTATTTTATTTTATTTTATTTTTTGGCTTCTTGCAAGATTCAAGTATGAGCAACTCCCTATATTAAAAACTCTTCTAAACATGATTTTAAAAGTTCAGAAATAGTTATGTTGGTACATGATCCACTTTTGTCACTGGGACTTATATTGTCTCCAGTATATCTTTTTGTATAATTTGGTATTATCCATTCATGTAAATTGTAAAAAGAAATTTAATTTAAATTTCAAATGTTAAAATGTCAGTTGATTTGCTTTTATTATCTGAATTGGTCAGGCTTTATGCAAATTGTTCACTATGGGCCAGATTCTAAACTCATTTACAACAGTGTAAATACAAATAATTGCAAAGACCTCTGATTTACAGCAATATAATTTAAATCTGAATTTGGTCCTATCCATACAGATGTCTTTATTTAATTTTATCATTAGAATAAATTAAGTTTTGTTTCTTTAAGTAAATGTATAACTCATGGAAGCTGTAAGATTTATAGTCCCAGAAGCACTCTCTCTAGCCATTGCCAGATTATTCCTACATCACTGTGCCAGAATATATCAGGGATGGCCAAACCATGGCTCATGAGCTGCATGCGGCTCTTTTACAATTAAAGTGTGGCTTGTGGAGCCCCTCCAGGCCCTCCCTTCTCCACCTACCAGATGGGGTGGGGTGGGGGGATCTTGGGACCTCTGCCTTGCAGCAGGGTGATGGGGTAGGGGCTTCTGTCCAGTGGGGAGGGGCAGTCTTGGGACTTCAGCCCCATGGGGTGCACCTACTGGGGCTCAGGGCTCAGCAGGAGCGGGGCTGAAGCCCCAAGGCCTGGCAGATGCCTCCCACAGGGCAAAAGCCCCGAGCCCAGCGGGTGTGCCCCGGCTTTCCACTTTCTGAAGATTGTTGTATGCGGCTCAGAGTGTCAGTAAGTTTGGCCATCCCTGGTATATAACCTATGAAAATTTTAGACAAACACCTCTTTGGACATCTATTTTAATAGCAAAAATACATGCATGACTACAAAGTCAAACGTTAGAAGGGGTGAGGTGTAAGAGAAATTAATGAACACATGAATAATGGAAGTATACGCAATGTATGACTTCTTAATCCTCTCTAGTCTCTGACCTCCCCCTGCGTACTTGTTATGTTTGGTCTATAAGAGGAAGACTTTGATTTTGAAACCTTACTATAGTTACACTGTTCAGTTATTAATTGGACCTGTACAAGGAAGAAGACATTTTCTGCCTACCAAATTTTTGTTTTTAAATTGTAAATTTTGTCTTCAAACTCTGTGTATAGATATCTAATGTATATACTGGATATTAAGAACCATTTTCTTAAAATGAGCTCATGTGACTCCCACTGAAATTAATAGATGTGTTCATATATGAGTAAAATTTGATGTTAAGCAAATAGAGCTTTTACCTTGCTTCATATTCTCCAAGAACCTGAAGTTATAAAACTGCATTGGTGGTGAAGGTTTACTTTTACTACAGTTTATGATTCCTGTATGTTCATTATTCAAATCTGGGAGGAAATATAGACATGGATGGATGGAAAAACTTACATAAATCGTAAATTAATGTAGAGAAATACACTTTATTGGGAAATTCCATTGTTTCACTTGTGTCCCCACATTCTCCTAATTGTTGTCTTTTAGCCTTGTTTTATCCATATGAGTAAAATAATGAAAATATGCCATCTAGTGGTAAGGTTCTGGCATAAAGGGTAAATGAAATATTTGAACATTTTTTCTGTTTTAAAATTACAATATTGTACAATTCCCACAATCAAACTTTTTACAAACGTATTATTTTTAAAAGGTGAAGCATAGGCACATGTTAATAAAAGTGGTAAGGATACACTGAATTTATATTTTGCATATCTTGTAAATGGCATTTGAAAACAAGGAGGGGAAGACAATCACTGTAGTTATATAAGAAGTTTCAACTATAGAAATAAATGCTTTTGGAAGGCACATTATACTACATTTCAAATGTCTGATTGCAATTTCATCATTTAAAACCCACAAATATTTTTTCTTTAAAGATGCACTGCATATTGAAATTTACATTTATGGTTAAACTCCGATTTAGTAAATATCATCTTGTGTGCAATGGAAACATATTTAGACCATAGGAGAGTTAATTAATTATTTACTATTTGTTGTGGTACTACCAAAAGACTAATTAGGATCAAGGACCTCTTATGTTCACATAGTACAAACTTAAGCTCTGATCTTGCAAAGACTACACATAGCTTTATACATTATGTATGAAATCCTGGCTCTACTGAAGTCAATGGCAAAAGTACTGTTGACTTCAGTAGAGCCAGGATTTAACTATGTGAGTAGTCCCATGTAAGTCTTTACATGAACTGCGCTTAAGAGGACAAGCAACCTACGAAGAAGAGGGAAGAGATAGTCGACATGCACATTTTATAGACATATTTTAGTTGAATTACATTTTTTGTATAATGACAGATATATGGTCTGAGCATTGAATTTGGTTGGAGTCTCAGACTTCTGAGTTCTAATCCTGGCTGTAACCCAGACTCGCTCTGTAGCACTGGCCAGGACATTTCTTCTCAATCTCAATCTCCCATCTTTATATGGGAATAACATCTACCTCCCAGGAGTGTTGTGAGGTTTAATTAAAATCTTTAAGAGTCTCTGAAGATAAAAAAGCACTATATAAATGCTAAGTTCTATTAACTTTATTAAAAATTACCTGTATTTCCAATTATATAATAGCAAATGTTTTGCTCTTTTCTCTTAGAGAGTGTCATCATTCATCAGTTACGCATGAACTCTAGATGAGATACCATACCCAATGTATTCTATATGTGTGCACTTCCTCTGCACACCAGTTGGATGGATCACTGTTGAAGCCCTCTACCACTATCACCATGGTCTCCTGTGCTACTGATCACTGACAGAAGTTTTTTACTGCTTCCGTTGGATTATAAAGATTATTTGTAGAGTTTTTAAAAATAATGGCCGTGTTGATATTTTGAAAATATGTAGAGAGAGAGAAAAGCAGTTATGGTGCCAGCTGAATGTTACTCTTATTTTGGAAAGCCTAAGGCACCAGCTTGATTTTGTTTGGTTGTGTTTGCCATATAATTTATTTTTATAAAACACTTTAATGTAACTTTCCCCAAACCTTCCAATTGCTACTGTCCATGGCGTGTTAATTTGTAGAATACACTGTCAAAATTCTTAGTGTTGATTGATATTTTTGTATTAAAGACAGTAAAGAAAGTTTAAATTTTAATTTGAATAGAGCTTTCTTTATTTTTAAATGTTAATTTTTTCTTTAAATGTATGCAACACATTTTCCTGCCACCATATAACTGTGAGACTAAATGCTCAAAGGACTGCCATACAGGGTATACTGGTATAGAATTTTTCTTGTACTGTGCATAAAACTTAATACTAACAAACCAAAGCCCTGAAGTACTACCTGAATTTAAAGATTCTTTTTAAACTTTGTAAACCAGTTTTCACTAAGCTGTGATTATTATTATTATTTTACAATATGTTTTTACTTCTGCCTGTACTGAAAAAAGTCAATTTTCATCACACTGTAACAAATAAATTTTCACAAGAATACAAATGTAATGAAGTGTTTGGATTATGCCACAAATGTCATAAGGCTGACAATGCTGAAATTTATCTTGTTTGTTTTATTTTATAGTAAGTACTACTGATAAAAAAGGAATTGTATGTTTTTTGTAGTTGCCATCTTCAGGCTGGTATTTCATTACAATATCACAGTGCATACTACATGCATCCAGATATTGTCAGTGCTGTGAAGAAAGATCTAGCATCTGGCAAAATTAATGATGCCATTGTTTCTAACTTTGAGTTTTCACTATGCTATCAAATATCACATCTATATAAGTATAAGGAAACTGTATTGTAAAGATGGCCAAATGATCGTAAAACAACAAGACCCTATGTATGCCACTGCAAGGTGAACTTAAATTTTACAGCAGTGGCCCTTCGATGATTGATGCTGCATTCTGAGGCATAATGAGAATTCTGTGGTAGCTACATTTGAATTAAAAATGGATTTTTAAATGAATTATATATGAAATTGAATAGAACCTGTATGGTATCCCTCATGCTATTTATTTTTTATAATAAATTCATTTTATTTTAAATTTTCCCCACATTTTCAGTTTCCAATTTACTGCAGACTTTTATATTATTAGTGTATAATGGTACTGTAAAGCTGCCGGGGAAAACTGGAAGATTTGGCAGCTGAATGCGGGACTATTGGGGCTTTTGGCATTTGGGGAGGTGGTTTGAGATTGTGGGATAAGCATATTAACGAGTCCTTTTTGCTGAAATGATCAAAAGTGAAATAGTTAACAATTACGACATTTTAAATTTGTCATAAGTACACCTCTACACCGATATAATGCTGTCCTCGGGAGCCAAAAAATCTTACCGCGTTATAGGTGAAACCGCGTTATATTGAACTTGCTTTGATCCGCCGGAGTGTGCGACCCTGCCCCCCCCCCCCCCGAGCACTGCTTTACCGCGTTATATCCGAATTCGTGTTATATCGGGTCGCGTTATATCAGGGTAGAGGTGTAGATGTTAACATCTCACTGAGATTTTAAGAAGCAGATAACCCATCAGGCTGTCTGCAGACTTGGGAAGGTAACATTACATTTGGTTTATAGTCATTCAGATCATCTTTTCAAGGTTATTTCACAACAATTGAAGTTGGATTTTTTTTTTTTTAAGGCAAAACTTTCTTCTGGAGCACAATTCTGCAGCAAGGTTGGGGCGGCGGGGAATTCTGCAGCAAATTTGACAGCTGCAGAATAGCAGGAACATGCTTGTCCCTTGTATATCTTATTGACGGCATTTTTAAAGCTGAGGTTACATTCCGTTTTATGTGACAGCTTGGTTCCAAGTTTCCTGAAATCCTAATATTCTTTTGTTTTGTATAAACTTTTTATATAGAGTTCACTTTCACTGGGTATAAAGTGCTGATATGGTAACCAATATGGGAAAGTTATAATGACATCCAAAATTTACATAGCATTTTTCAATTTCCTTACACAAAGCTGAGGAATATTGACTTCCAGTGTAAAACAGGAGTCAGACAGTGTTGAATCAGACCCACTTATGTGCCATTGACATCTATGAAGTTACACCAGCACAAAATGAGAATTAACATAGTGATGAACCAAGCCCATTGCCTTAAAAACCATTACCTGTGAATGAATAATCATCTGGGGTAAGAACTGGTTTGACTTAATCTATAATAAATCTGACAGCGATTTGAAAAGTATAGCAACACTACTGAAATAGTTTCTCTGTGTTTAAAAATAGAATAAATATCTCAATAGCAGTACAATGAGTTTTTCTTTCAACTCCATCTGGATTAACAAAAAATCTCATTATGGTATGTGTGAAGAAACATTTTCCTTTTATTTTTAGGAACACTCGTCCCCCAATCCGACCCCTCCACACTCACACTTTTAAAAGTTCAAAAAGTTAATCTGGTGGTTAACAGAAATGCAGTTATAGTTTATTTTATCCTACTCAGTTTTTAAAAATATTTTGGATGAACTGTTTTACTTATCTAAGAGGGAGACTGAGAGCAGTGGCCAAAGTAAAGCACCATACAGATAGGTACTACTTATGCTCTTCTATACAGAGTGGAATTATAAAGTCTGACTGAACTGGCATGCTGCAAGCAGCTATAAAACAACAACTAACTTCTAGTTGAAAATCATACCTGTGTAGAGAGTCCTCATATGGAGGGTAACTTTAACTTTCTGTGAATTAGTATTACTGACTTCAAATGCAACCTAATTCAGATTTGAATCCTGACTTCAAAATATGAAAAATTAGTCTGTTTTGGGGTACTTTGAAAGAAGTCTATTAAAATATACTAAATGATTTTCTATACATGCACTTTTTAAAGGAAATAATCATGTTTTCAGATGAAGCCACTGTACATGCCACACTGAATCCATAAATAGCAACAATATTAAAAAATGAAAAATTGGTGAAGAACATGATCTTTTTTAGAAGCCCCTATGGTCAGTCAGATCCTTTAAATAGTTGTTAACATGGCTTTACGTGAGGAAATATAATGGTTCAAGTCTTTTTTTTTTAAAGTAAATATACTCAATTTTTGAGGTGGGGTGGGAGTGAAGTAAACTCTTCAGTTCTGCAAACACAAATTTTCCTGTTGAAGTCAATAGCAGTTTTGCAATTGTTGTCTCTCAAGGCAGCATTGGACTTAAAAGGGAACTAAAATTAGAACATTTATTGTATAAAATCAGAAACTACCAGAAAACCAACTTTGGTGCATTGACCACTCCATCTTCAACTGTGAATTCCCTGATTTTTGTCTATTTGTCACAATGTTAAATTTTTTAAAATAATAGACTTTGTATTAATGTTTGTTTTTACTTAAAAGAATGTTGTAGGATCATACATTTCAAGTATTTTATGACAGCTAGATAAATTTTATTCTCCAGCAGGGTTTGGGTATTTTATTTTATACAGTTCTTCATTGGGTTTAACAATGTACATTTGTATCTACTAAGTTCAAGTTTTGTTTTATGAATATTAATTATAGCTTTAATTATTCATATATAAATTATTTATCACTTTAATTATTAATGTATATTATTTATTATAGCTTTCTTGATATAAAGAAGTTCACAATCTGATGGAATAAATTCTTGCAGAACCTAAGAATAGCCATACTAGGTCAGACCAATGGTCCATCTAGGTCAGGGGTAGGCAACCTATGGCACATGTGCCGAAGGTGGCACACGAGCTGATTTTCAGTGGCACTCACACTGCCCGGGTCCTGGCCACCGGTCTGGGGGGCTCTGCATTTTAATTTAATTTTAAATGAAGCTTCTTAAACATTTTAAAAACTTATTTACTTTACATACAACAATAGTTTAGTTATATTTTATAGACTTGTAGAAAGAGACCTTCTAAAAACGTTAAAATGTATTACTGGCACGCGAAACCTTAAATTAGAGTGAATAAATCAAGACTTGGCACACCACTTCTGAAAGGTTGCCGACCCCTGATCTAGGTCAACATCCTGTCTTCCAATCAAGTGATTCATTCTGTCGCCCATTTCCCAGCTTCGGGCAACTTCAGAGTATGGTTTTGCATCTCAACCCATACTTGCTAATAGCCATTGATGGGCCTATCCTCCAGGAACTTATCTAGTTATTTTTTGCACCCTCAGACTTGGCCCTCACAACATACTCTGGCAAAGAGTTCCATAGGTTGACTGTGCCTTCTGTGAAGAAATCCTTCCTTTTGTTTTAAACCTGCTGCCTACTCATTTCTTTGGGTGACCCCTAGTTCTTATGTTATGTGAAGAGTAAGTAACATTTCCTTATTTACTTTCTCCACACAAGTCATGACTTTATAGATCTCTATCACAGCACCCCTTAGTCGTCTTTTCCAAGCTGAAAAGTCCCAGTCTTATTAATCTCTCCTCATATGGAAGTTGTTCCATATCCCTAATCATTTTTGTTGCCCGTTTCTATACTTCTTCCAATTCCAATATATCTTTTTTGAGACAAGGCAACCAGATCTGCACACAGTATTCAAGATATGGGCATACCCTGGATTTATACAGAGGCAATATGAATTTTTTTGTCTTCTTATCTATCCCTATCTTAATGATTCCCAATATTCTATTAGCTTTTTTGAATGCCACTGCAAATTGAGTGGATGTTTTCAGAGAACTAGCCACAATGTCCCCAAGATCTCTTTCTTGAGTGTTAACAGCTACTTTAGACCCCATCATTTTATCTGTATAGTTGGGATTATGTTTTCCAATGTGCATTACTTTGCATTTTTCAACACAGAATTTTATCTGCCATTTTGTTGCCCAGTCACCTAGTTTTGTGAGATCCCTTTGTAACTCTTAGCAGTCTTCTTTGGACATAAGTATCTTGAATAGTTTCGTATCATCTGCAAATTTTGCCACCTCTTCACTGTTTAACCCTTTTTCCAGATAATTTATGAATCAGTACTAGCCCCAGTACAGACCCCAGGGGGACACCACTTTTAACTCTCTCCATTCTGAAAACTGAGCATTTAATCCTACCCTTTGTTTCCTATGTTTTAATCAGTTACCGACCAATAAGAGAAAAAAGCTTTTTTCAGACTCAATGTGATATATAGATTTTAAGAAGTATACCACATGGCTATTATTCCTACACGTACATTCAATCTTTAAGTCTCTTTCAAATGTAACTAAGGGCAGGTCTTCACTACCCGCTGATTGATCTATTGGGGATCCATTTATTGTGTCTCATCTAGACGTGGATAAATTGATCCCCGAACGCACTCCCCATCGACTCCGGAACTCCAGCTCGCGAGAGGCGGAAGCAGAGTCGACAGGGGAGCGGCAGCGGTCGACTCGCCACCGTCCTCACGGCCAAGTAAGCTGACCTGAGATACACGGACTTCAGCTACGCTATTTGCATAGCTGAAGTTGCGTATCTTAGGTTGACACACACACCCCCAGTGTAGACCAGGGCTTAGTTAATTTCAACATTTTTTACCAGTCTTTGATATAGTTATAGTCTTCATTTCATCAAAGATTAATTAACAAACACAACACATTAAGGCTCCAATCTTACACTGAGCTCTGCATAGGTATAGGATATCACTGATAGCCTGGGATGGAGAAAGGGCGTTGGGGGGAAAGGAATACTGGTGTGTATACATTCTTTTAAAAACATGTGTTTATTTCCCACTTTCTATTCATTTTGCCTAATGCCCTCCACAAAGCAAAAATGTTTGAGCTAGCCAGTTTATCACCATTATGTGAAATTATATGTGATATTTTATTTTTGCTTGCTTAAATGTGATTCCCCTATCCCCCAATGTAAAATCCTGGAATAATATCAATCTATGACCCTATCTAAACACATGTTGTACTGCTTTGCCTATACCTATAAAGTCATACAACTCCCCTAAGGTGGATGCGCTAATAATCTGTCTACAAGTGTTTATTCCAGTATAATTTTCTTCTTCTTCACAAAAAAGGGGAATAAGCTACACTGCTATATTTAAAGCCCCACTAGAGACTGTACTGGTATAACTATTTCAGTTAAAAAAAAAATCAATCACACCCCTAACCAAAATAGTTA